GGACAACTCCACTGCTCGCGCAATCATCCCACCCTCCCACCCGCAACTTGTTTAGCAACACCCATGCTGCGTCGATGACGATGACTGCTAGGCACTGGCTGGCGCATCTCTGCGGCCGCGCTAGGGCGCGCAAGCTCGCGCGCAGAGTGCCCAGCTAGTTTGGCACAACCGACGCTGCCGCGGTGGCGCTAGCCGATGGGGACTTCCCAGTGCGTCTCACAGGCCGCGCTGGTGCGGGGGCACTTCAGTGAGGGTCGGTGATTCGGGCGGGCACGTCGACAACGGCGAAAACGATCATGAGATTAGCGATGACGGTGACGATGACGACAGTGACGACGGCAAGGCCGATGACGGCGCCGACGCTGGTCACGCCGATGACAATGATGACGTCCATGTGCCGTTGATGAAGGTTTGGGGGGATTTGGACATGCACGCTCGGCCGACGCGCGCGGGTGGCCTTGCACGCGCGCGAGGGGTCGTGCCTCCATACCAGGCTCGCAAGGGCGTTCGAATGATTGTGACGTGCGCTCGCGAGGCTCGCGTGGTCCCGTGTGAGGCTCAACGTTGCAGAGCCGACGGTGTTCTTCAGAACTCGCAGGAGCGCCCGCAGCCAGTTGTGGGCGCAACCACGCGTTTTGTCATGGGTCGCCCGCGCCCGCTCCCACGTTGGCTGGGCAACAAAGTCCGCTGGCTGCCGCCGGGCACCTCGGGGCCTGGCAGCCTCCGGAGGGGCGGCGCGCGGGCGATGGGATTTCCAGAGGAGGGCGGAGGAGGGCGGCGGAGGAGAAACGAGGTGGAGACACGAGGAGGAGGCGGAGGAGGAGGAGGAGGAGGAAGAGGAGGAGCGCAGGCTACGGCACCGTTCGTCCACGCGCCCCTCCTACCCGGGATATCTCTCCCCGCAGTGGGCCCCGCCGCCGCCGGGCACACTTGAGGCAGCAGCCGCCGCGAGCTCGCCGGCGGGGCTGGCCGCGCCGCCCACTCGGGGAGCGACCCGTCCCCCTGAGCCGCTCGCTCCGTCCGCCCATCTTTCGGCCGCGCTCCTTTTGACTCCTCTGGCCTGCGGCCGGCGCAGGGAGGGGTACTCATTACTTTTGAGCCCTGTCTGACCGTGGATCCACAGCATCATAGCATAGGCTGTTGGCGCAGTAGCTGCCGTAGTGCCTGGGCATGATGTGGTCGCCGCGGGAGAGGAAAAAGAAATGGTGGCCCAAGTCGTTTTGACGGCGTCCCCGCTTTGGCCTCCCATCGCCGGCGCAGACGCCGACGCACCAAGCATGCGTTTGGTAGAGGTGTTCGGGAACATCGGCCTTGGCATTCTGACGATCCCTACGTGTTGGGGAAGATTCCGAACTGCGCGCGCGACGGCGCGCGCGTGCAGACCTCGCAATATGTTCTGCAAAGGTTTCGTGGACATGTACTTTCTTTGGTAAACCGCTTACGTGCATAGTGTTTTCCGGCATCGATGAACGGGGGGCGATAAGGATGGTGCCTGGCCGTGTATGAACTCATGTGCGACGTGGACGATGGGGCAGAACCATGTGTAAGTTGCAGCGTCCCAAGGGGGACCGACAATCCCAGCCCCATCGGGGCGGTAGCGTCGATTCCTTTCTCAGGGAGGAAACTCCATGGTGTGCAATCTACGAAAAGCAGCGCAAAACAATGCAAAGAGCAACGTAAACAGCAATTCAAGCAACAACCCGAAGAGCAGTGAAAAGAGCAATGCAGCTAGGAGTATCATTGTCAAGAGAGATGTGACGTAATGAAATAACAACGCAAAGAGCAGTAGAAAGAGTAATACAAAGCAATGCAGTGCAAAGCAATGCACGGCAATGTAAAGCAACGCAATGCAGGCCAACGCATGGCGAAGCAATTCAATTCAACGCCGTGCAACTCGATGCAATGCCATGCAAACGAAGGCAAATCACTGCAATGCAAAACCATGCAACTCACATCAATTTAAAGCAAAGCAACGCAAACCAATGCAACTCAATGCACGATAATGCAATCCAGCGCAAGGCAATACAAAGAGCAATGCTAACAGTAATACTAAGCGCAACGCAGAGAGCGCTGCAACGAGCCATGACAATAGCATTGCAAACAGCAATGCAGAGAGCAATGCAAACAGCAACGCAAAGAGCACAGCAAGCAGCAAATCAATGCGAAGAGCGATGCAAAGAGCAATGCAAACGGAAATGCGAACCGCACTGCAAAGAGCAGGGCAAGTATAACTGCAAAGAGCAAGCAAAGAGCAGTACACAGAGCAATGCAAAGAGCAAGGCAAAGCAATGCAAGGCACTGCGAAGAGCAGTGCAAGCTGTCTAAAGAGTAACGCAAGTGATACTGCAATACAATGCCCAGCCATGCAGTGCAACGAGCAATGCAACACAATGCAAAACAAGGCAATGCCATGCAGGGCAATGCAGAAAACATTACAAACCAATGCAAAACAATACAAAGAGCAATGCAACTGGCAGTGCAAAGAGCAACGCTAACAGCAACTCGAACAGCAATGCAAGCAGGCCTGCCAAGAGCAATGCCAACAATAATGCAAACAGCAAGACAGAGGAATGCAATGCAATGTAACGAAATACACAACAATGCAAACAACAGTGCAAAAAGCAATGCAAAGAGCAATGCAACGCAATGCAACGGCATGCAACGCAATGCAGAGCGATGCAACGCGATGCAAAGCAATGCAGAGCGTTGCAAGTGCAATGCAGTGCACAGCAGGACGGAGCAACGCCCAAACAAGGCAAAGCAAGGCGAAGCCAGGCAAAGCGATGCAAAGCAGCGACAGGCAATGCAGAGCAGTGCGAAGCAACGCGGTGCACGTGGCGTCGACGGACGGTGACGGGCGGCAACACGCCAACGGGGACGGCACCCGGGCCCAGACGGGCGGTGGCGACGGGCGGCGTCGGGCATCCACAAGCCGGACGGGGCGGCACCAGGGCCCACACGGACGGCGGCGACGGGCGGCGACGGGCGGCTGGAGCTCAGCTTGCTTGAAAAGCGAAGTGAAAAAAACCCTAAGTGCAAGCAGTGTTTGGGGAATCGATAGGAAGTCTCGGGCGAGAGCGGGGGCTTGAAGAAATAACGAGGACGTCTCAGGCTTGAACCGCTGTTGTTGCAGCCAAACTGTTAAGGGTTTTGAGTAAGTTGCGGGAAGTCCCTGGCGAGAGCATGATTTTTTAGTAACTTGCGAGGAAGTCTCGGGCGGGAGCGCGGGTCCTGTGTAAATTGCGAAGAAGTCTCAAGCGGGAACTGTTGTTGTAGTTGGGGGGGGCGCAACTCAAATTTGGAAGGAAGCTCGAGCTCGAGGGTAAGCTTCGTTTTCGGAGAAAACGGAGTCCACGTCCCTAGCGCCAGCGCTTCGTCAATCTTCCGTAGATCAATGGTATTTATTATTGATGAGTGTACGTTCGACAACAGCAACGACAGTCATCTTAAGATTGCATGTTCTCATCAGCTCGTGTGCCGATCAACATGTGTATCCCAAACCCTCGGTACCCTCTTCGACGTCGATCGTGCACCCCCTTTGGGGTAGAACTTCCTTGCCTGCCACGTGTAATTGGCGCAGCCCCTAAAGCAGGAAGCGGAGAGAGGCAGGAAAAAGAAACGCGAGGAGGAAATGCGTGCGGGAAAAAGGAAAGCGAGGAGGAATGCGTGAGGAAAAGGAAAGCGAAGAGGAAAGCGAGGAGGGAATGGACAAGGGGGAGGGGGAAGGAGGACGAGGCACGAGAGCGATCAGCAAGGGGGGGTAGGAGCAGGAAAGCAAGCGGCAGAGCTATGCGGGGCGGATGTGGCGGGCGGACCCGGACGGCGAAAGCGTGGTTCTTGAGCGTGGAGGGTGCGACGCATGAATACATCGCGAGGAAGTCGCACGCGAAAGTGCCGTTCATAGGCAAGTTGCAAGGAGGTCCCAAGAGAGAGCGAGAGAGAGGGGGATAGCGAGATTCTTCAATGCATTGAGGGTACCAGGCGGGAGCAGTTGATGTAGTTGTTGCGGAGCGAACAAAGGCTCAACCTGGCGTGCCAGGCCCAACAGGGGCACTGTATGATGGAAAAGCACGTATGTTATTGGGGTTCCTTCAGACATGAGAGTTCGACACCAAACAACAACAATGCTCTTCACTGCGGAAGCCCACCGCAGCCACGCACCCAGGGGGGGTGTAAGACCGTTCGGCCCCCACACTGTGATATCTGCAATTGGAAACTCACCGGCGGATGTTATCCCGCGCTGATTGAAACGACCAGGCGTGAATCTTTAGATCGCATCTCTCGGCATCTTCGGCCGAAGGCTTTCGTCGGCAATGGTAAGACTATCTTTTCAGACTTTGTCTGGGTCCCGGATTCCCGAATGCCCGTCTTCCTTGGTCTCATTGCTTCCCTCCCCTCCCCTCATCCACTCCCAGGCCAACCCAGGGAGGCGCATACATCGCTTCTGAGCCCACGACGGGCATGTCCAGGGCCAGCGGATCTGTAGAGATCTCCTCGCTTGTGCTCAGCCACGCGCAGAAGGGAAGTGGGGGGAGGGGGGAGGGCTTCTTGAAAGCACCCCTGCTTCTTGGAAGACGCGGGCCTTATCTACAGATGTAAGGCCGGCGCCTCCCAAGAGGCAGCCTCCATCTAAGAAGCCCTCCCCCCCTCCCTCCACCCCCTAGTGCGCGCCGCCAGTGTGCATCGAGTTCTAGGTAACAGATCTCGCTGCCGTCTCAGGGGGGGCGGGGTCATAAAACAGGGCTAGGATCGGGACAAATCGATCCAGAGCGTTCTGGAGCGCTCTCAGAGCGTTCCGGAAGGCTCTGGAGCGGCCGCGGCGCCCAATACGTCCTCCAAACCCGCCGATTCTCAGAGATTTCGAGTTATCCCGATCCGATTTTGTCCCGATCTTCGCGTCGTTTTAGGTCAGGGCCTCCGGGAGCCGAGATCGCGACGGGCGATCGGCGGCCACGGGGGCTGCTGCCGCGGACCCCTCGCCGTCCCCGCCGCGTTTCCAGGCGACGGAGGCCGACGAAGAGCGGAAGGAGCAGAAGGAGGACGGCGGCGAGGCGTGCCCCCGAGGAGGAGGAGGAGGAGGAGGAGGAGGAGGAGGAGGAGGAGGAGGGAGGAGCATGGGGAGGAGGAGGAGGAGGAGGAGGAGGAGGAGGAGGAGGAGCAGGAGCAGGAGCAGGAGGAGGAGAAGAAGGGGGAGGAGCGTGAGCAGGAGCAGGAGGAGGTGGAGGAGGAGGAGGGGAGTTGGGAGGAGGAGGAGGAGGAGGAGGAGGAGGCAGGAGGAGGAGGAGGAGGAGGAGGAGGATTGGATGAGGAGGTGGAGGAGGAGGAGGAGGAGGAGGAGCAGGAGGAGGAGGAGGAGGAGGAGGAGCGCCCTGCCCCCCCCCTCTCTCCCCTCTCTCCCCCGGAAAAGTTCTGCGGGCGCTCCCCGCGCTCGGCGGGGCGCCGACCGCGCACAGGCCTCGTCGGTGGCCGCCCGATGCCTCTGAGCTTCTGCTCGGCCTCCGCTTTTGGCACTTCGGCGGGGGGCCGTGCCGTCGGCGGGTGGGCTGGCCTCCGGATCCCGGGGCCCGTGGAGTCTGGATCCCAGGGCGCGGCGCGAGGCGCCGCGGCTGCGGCTCGCGGCGCGCCCGGGCGCGCCGGATGAACGGAGTGCACGGTCCCCCCTCCCTTCCCCCTCCTTACTCCTCCCCCCTCTCTGCCACAGGGCGCTTCGAGGATGGAGAAGGTTGCCGCTGTCACGGTGTCGCCCTGGCCGCACGCGCTTGCTTGTGGACGCTTCGCGGGCTTTCCCCGGCCTGCACGGGAAGAAGCGCCAGGCGAGCCGCCCCGATGCGGGAAAAGTGTAGGAGCATCCGGTGGAACAGTCTGGTGAGTTGGCAGTCGAGCCCAAGCGGAATTGCTCGGCCTGCCGTCGAAGATGGAGGAGGAGGAGGATGCGGAGGAGAAAGTAGAGAGTTATGAAGAGCAGGAGGAGGAGGAGGAGGAAGAGGAGGAGGACGTGAAGAACACGTGAGGCGTGAGGAGGAGCAGGAGCAGGAGGAACAGGAGGATGCGGCCGAGGAAAAGGACGATTGAAGAGGAAGAGAGCGACGACAATGACATTAACGAAGACGAGGAGGAGGAAGAGGACAGCGACGGCGGCAGGAGTCAACCATGAAGACATTCGCGGAGCTTTCAATACAATAACCTCCTCGAAGCTTCTTGGAGACGTCTGTCCTCTTGGGCCCGCTCGGGGAGTTTTCGGGTCTCTCGCGGGGCCTTTTGGAGGACGTTTGGGCCTCTTCTTGGGGCCATCTTCAAAGGGCATCGGTCAAAGAAAAGGGCGGTGAACAACAAAAGTAGCGTCGCCCGCTTGATACCGAAGTATCGCATTTCCGAGCCCTATTGGGGTTGCTCTTGGAGCCCTCTTGAACGCTCTTGGGGCCGTCTTGGAGTCCTCCTGGGCTCCTCCTGGAGCTCTATTGGGGCATCCTGGAAATCAGATTGTGGTCTCGTATGTCCCTCGGAAGCGAGAAGGCGAGAATCCCAAAAACATTGAATTCTGCAAGGTGTTTGAGTAATGCTGGCGTCCTGGTGGTCTCTTCGGAATGGTCCGTGACCATCTGGAGCCGTCTTAGGTTGGCCTTGTGGCCACTTGAATGAAAGTTGGAGGACGTACTGGCCGTCTCGGGCCACACTGCACCAGCTTGGAGGCCATCTTGACCTATTTGACGCCATCTTGGGGCCAGCTTGGCCCGAACGCTTCCCAATGATACCTTCGAGATGTCCAAACCGTTAAGGAGAATAAGTGTTGTCCAGTGGTTTCAGCTCTGAGCGACGGAGGATCCCCTACTAGCATTGTCCCGCCGGGCCCAGAAACATCGCCCATCGTTGCCCTGCGGGCGGAATTGGGCCGCTATTGGGCACATGTGGCAGTTCGTACGGGCCCCTCTTAGGGCTCTCTTGGGTGATCTTCGAGCCGTCTTGATGCCTCCGAAGCGCATTGGAAGCGGAAGAGCGATACGACACACATCAATGCGTTCCCTTAGGTGTTGGGGTGGTGTGGGTTCCTCGGTAGCGTCCTTAAGACGCTCCGTGGCCACATGAAACCGTCGTTAAGCTTTTCGGAGGGCCTCTCGGAAGCATGTCGGAGGAGGTCTTAAGCTATATTGGCTCATACAGTGGGGCAAGAAACCCTGGCAAGAAACCCAACCCTGAAATCCTGCGCGCCAGGTGCACCTGAGGGGAAACCCGGAGCACCCTGAACGCAGCATCTTCTTCAACGGCCGCGGGAAGTCACCGCGCAGCTCGCGGAGCGAAGAAACCCAGGATGCCCTGACGAAAATCATATGGCTTCTTGATGCGCGCCCCTGTGCGATCTTCCTTCGGCCATCTGAAGCCACCTTGGAGCCATCCTGGACGCTCTAACTGGTCCGCCCCCTGTCCAGGACCAGGGGAGGGGGCAGGGGGAGGAGTCGAGCCTCCCCCCGCGGGACGGCCGTCTCGCTCATTCCCACCCGCTCCCCACCAAATTGATAACACCCGGGTCTCAGCATTGCAACGGTCGCCCTCGGATGGACCAGTGGGAGCACAAATCAGACGCCAGGTGCGTGACGACCGCGAGGTGCGAAGCGGGTGTCAGGTTCTCCTTTAGAGCCGGGCGCACCAGGCACCCCCAGGGACCCAAGCGTGCCAGGCGCGCCTGGTGCGCCAGATTGTGCCGCGGGCTCCACATTCGCGAAGTGCGCCAAGGGCGCCGCCCGCGCCAGATGCGCCACGTGCGCGGTGCGCGCACTGTGTGCCAGGTGTACCAGTGCACGTCAGAACACGCACCGGGAAACATGTCCACATACCCCACCAACCTTGCCAAGAACCGATGCGAAGTGGTAGCGGGGTGGTCAGTAGGATGTACGGCGCGTGCTCCCGCAATCTCTTTGCATTTGTTTTTTGCAGAGACTGTGGACCAGTCAATATGTGGGCACCTCCCACTATCCCTTTCAAAAAACAGTCAAAGGGATCGCTGGGCCCCGCATATGGTCACATGGTACAAGACTTTGCAACAATGAGCGCTCTGTACTGCTGTGCGGTAGGGATGGTAGGTCCGCACGCGCCAGACAAGATGCTCCCCTCCCGCCGTCGTTGTCAAACATAACGTACATGGATCGCTGGGCCCGTGCGCATGGTTCAAGATTTTGCCGCGAAGTGTCATTTGCCTTCTATTATGACAAGAGTAGTGAGAGGGGGGTCGGCATTGTTCCCTGCCGCCTGCCGGCGGAGCAGGGGGCGGAGCGATACGCCACAGGCAGCAGACTCCCCTCCGGGCCTGCTGCTGGACGTTCACTGGCGGCCGCGCCGCCCCAGAGCCCTCGGCGCAGACCGGGGAGCCGCCCCCTGGGCGCCGGGCGTCCGCTAAGGCACGTGCTGGTACTCCAGGCGGCTCGCTGTCCGGCGCCAGTCGCCGCGCTGCCGCTGGTGCCGCTTCGGGCGCCGAGAGTGGGCCTGCCACGCGGCTGCAGGCAGGCCTCTTTCGTCGCCCAGGAAGCGTGCGATGCCTGCTCCTGTCGGCACGAGCACCTCCGTCTTTCCCTCTTCGAGACTCTCTCTCTCTCTCTCTCGCTCTCTCGCTCTCGCTTTCCCTATGTACATGTATTTTTTGTTGTTTCTCTCTCTCTCTCTCTTTCTCAGTTCCTTGTCTGTTCCGCCGCGCTCCTGACCAATAGCGGCATGCCCGACCACGCTGAGGCGAAAGAGGACAAGGAAGGTGAAAAGGCTGAGGGCAAGGAGGAAGAGGACATCGAGCCATTGCCACGCTCAGAATATGTTGTGGACGCCGTGGCAGTAACGCAAATCCATTGGCACATTCACACACTTCAATTCAATTGACGCGTACCCTTCAGGGGAGGCTAGACTTACCCCAGAACAGACGTACCCTGTAGAGGGGGTCTCAGGGTCCACCTCGGGACGCGCAACGGCTGAGTTTGGGGCTTTACTATGCGTTGCAGCCGATTGCGCAGCATATGGCGGAACCACAAGCAGAGGGTATTGTTCCCGAACGCTTTGTTTCCAGTTGGGTGAGCATGGCTTGCTCCAGGCTCTTTCCTTCCTCCCAGCTCCCCCCTCCCTGGAAGCTGCCAACTGCGCAGCCGTCGCCACTTTCGTGAGCTCCTGGGCGATCCAGTAGAGTGGACTTGCACGCTGATCTCGGTGAGACCCTCGCGGCCCCCTGGGGTTTGCCAGCTTCGCATCAGTCGCCACTTTCATGGGCGCCTGGGATGCTCACCGGATTAGAGTTGCCAGCACTGTGAGGCTGCCAATTCGCAATTATCGCCATTGTCGTGAGCTCTGGAGGTCCAGCGAAATGGAGTTGCTCGCGGATCCAGACGAGACGTCGCGGCGTTTCGAGGGGGGGGCAGTGTGCAATCGTCGCAACTTTCGTGAGTTCTTGGGAGATTCAGCGGAGCAGAGTTGTATGTGGATCCAGACGAGACCTCGCGGCCTCTTGAAAGGCCACCACCTGCGCAGTTGCCGACACAGTTTAATATATATATATATATATATATATATATATATATGTATGTATGTAAAAAAGCCTTGGAGGTCTAGCGGAGCTAGAGGCTAGACTTCGCGGCCCCCTGGGGGGCTGCCAACTGCGCAGCCGTCGTCAATTCAGTGGGTTCACAAGGGGTCCATGGAGTGGAGTTGCACGCGGATCAACACGAGAACTCGAGGCTTCATCGGGGACTGCCATCTGCGCAGCCGTCGCCATGTTAATGGGCCCTTGGAGTGTCTAGCGGAATGGAGTTGCATGCGGATCCAGACACCTCGCGGCCACATGCGTGCAATTGTCTCCAGTCGAGGCCTCGCTGCTCCCTGGGGGGCTGCGAACTGCGCAAGGGTCGCCACTCTCGGGAGCTCATAGGAGGCCCAGCGGGGTGACGTCCGTGATGGAGTCTCCACTGTCGTGGGCCCCTGAGACGCCGGCGACATGGACAGGCTCTGGCTGCATCTGTGCGTCATATTGCTCAAGGTCACGACCCCCGGGCACCAGCCCGTGATGCGCGACTTGGGCTTGGATGCTCTCCACAGGGGTCTTTGGCGGACGTGGCGTCGCGGAGCGCTGCGCGGAAGAGGCTTAGACACCCACCATGCGTCTCAGAGCCTTCCCTTTATATTCCTCGTCCTTCGATGCTTCCTCGTATCGGTCCCATGGGTCGTGCAATGCGCGGGCCTGCTGGGCACTTTTCGCAAACAGGATCGCGAGCTCTGTCATACCATGATTCGTTTAGGAGTGGCCTGTCGGCATTGCCAGTTGTTGCGGATGGGTGGGGCGCGTCTCGGGTATCTTTGGTAGTCGAGAGCGCAACCTGCTCCGAAACCAAAGACATGACCCATGCCGTCACCAACGGTGGAACCAATGGCACCGCCTATGACCCGACGCAGTGATTGTGCAGTCCATGGCGCAGTCCATGTGTGTCGCAAGTATATGGCGCAACCCATAGTGCAACCCATGGACGGCACAACCCATGGTTGAATCCATGGCGCAATTGGTGGCATAACCCATGGGTGGCACAATGCAAGGCGCAACCCTTTCGCTGCGGACATTGTGAACTGGACGTTACGGGAGGTGGAATATGGTGGGTTATCGGCGTACGAGCGAAAATGCATGATCTCGTTAGGTGGTGGGGGAACCTTTAGCCGGTTGAGGGCTTCTGGGGGGCATGTGTGGACATCGGTGCGACCGCAGGAGCAACGATGAGGCTTCGAACGGTTGTATCACAGCCTTCTTGTTCGGTTTCCTAGGGCTCCTGGGCGCCTTATTGCCATTGGCCTTGACGCTGTCTAGAAAATTGCTGCTGGTTTTGCTGTTGGGGGGTCCCATGACATGTTTGGAATATCGCGAGCCGTTCGTACTTCTGGGCCGTTTTAGGCTGTCGTGAGACCTTGAGCATCTTCGGCGGGATGGGGTGCCTCTTGCTTCTGACGGTTGCTCGTGGCTGCTGTTGCTGACCCTGCTGCTGCTGGAGGGTCCCAGGGCACTCGTGAAGTATGGTGGGGGATCCTGGGTTGTGTTGGGGCACCCTGGGTCCCCCTTGGGGCTAGGTTCGGTCGTTCTGGGGCAGTCAGGGGGGGGGGCATTTGAAGTGGTGTTTGGGTGGCGTCTTGGGCGCATCGGGGGGCCTCGAAGAGATCGTTTAGGTTTCCCGTTGAAGCCATCCTGAAGACTGAGATGCTTCGCTAGATGCTTCCAGGGCCTCATTTGGGTCGTCTTCAGGGTCTACTCGGGCAAACTTGGCAGTCTTGGGAGCGCCTAGTGGGGCCTGCCTGGGGCCTCAAAGCCAGTCCCGAGCGGCCCAATATGATCCGTGGCACGTCGTCGGTGCTTCGAGGTTCCCGCACGCTCACGGCATCCTGAAGAGAGGGCCACGAGGCTGCAAGGAAGTCTTGAAGTGTCGCTTAGAAGGTGCAGGAGGCCTGAGGGACGCATGGCAGGGGCGTCCAGGAGCTTCAGGAGGCAGACAGGCCACACAGGGGTGCACCATGCTAGCCAGCATTGTGGCGTCCAAAACCCGGATAGCAGCGCAGTCCAAAGCGCAGGACACCTTTGTGGAAGACGCTTGCCAGGACGCTGGACGGCGTGCATGGGGAGCTTGAAAGCCTTGGAAAGGAGCTCCGCAGGAGCATCCAAGGAGATTCGAAGGACCTGCGGAAAGGTTTCGGGCACGCGTATTGGGAACGAGTAGGAAAACGCTTCTCCGGACACGCTGCAAGTTCAAGCAGGGCGATCCGGCGCTGCTTGACTAGCACCAGAAAGAGTTTCTGGGCCACCCTGCGCCGCCGGCTTCTAATCTGAAGCTCGATTAGCTCTCAGAGAGCTATCAGGGAAAACATGCCAGCACTTCTCAGCCGCTCCTGCATAATTGGCGGGTCATGCACGGCCGCATGTACCATTCGCGATACACTGTATGTATGGTAATGAAGTTTCGTTTGCGCACGCCCTCGCTGGACGGTTCGTGCTAGTTTTCAAGATTAGAACTGTGATAGTGTTTCGGTTTCTTCTGCCACGTTGGCAGCCGCGTGCTTATGCCCCTGCTCAAGCCTGCGTTCACGCTTGAGCTTGTGCATACTTGTCGTCATCATACTGGCGCTTATTCTTACGCGTCGCCGTTGTGTTCCGCACGTGCATGCCATACCACGTGTAGGTGTCATTCGGGATCCGATGCGGGCACAATGGCGCATGCACCTGGGCAAATCCAATTGATTAGTTTGAGCGAGAGGTTGATCGATATTCGTTTCGTTCCTTGCCGAGTCGTTAGACAACCATTGTCGACATGTCAACAGCCCATTGTACATGATATGTAATGCGAGAAGAGTGTTGCGGTGACATTGGGGCGACCGGGTATGAGTGACGCAGCGAGCGGAATAGTCGGCAAATGATACTGATGATGAGGAGGAGGAGGAGGAGGAGGACGAGGACCAGGGCGATGGGGTCCAGAAAGACGAGGATACTCTGGAGCGGTAAGAAAGGGGATGGGGATTTATATTGAGTGCGAGTGGGGCGCAGATGCAGCCAGCGCTTTCATCAGTGATGTTGTATGTGCTCGTCCCAGAGGTGGCCTCATTATTTGCACCAGTATCTCCGATTTTTGCAAGTCTGGACAGTGTCGGGGATTTGTTGGCGATGTTTCGGTTTGTAGCGCTCGTCTGTGTCAATTGTCTGTCAATTGGCGGCCTGTCTCGTTCACACTGTATTTGGCTTGCCATACCGCGCTCACTTTTCGCTGCACTCCTCAACTGTGACATCCTGTTTCTCCGTTTTGTGGTGCAGCCTTTTAGGATGTCGAAAAGCTTGACAAGCTGAACATGTCGCTGGAGCGTGCGGGTGGGTTCTCGTGTCAGGGTGGGCAGGGGCACCGGGGGTTGAAACCGCGGCGCCTGTGGACTGAAGCAGCCAGGGAGGTGCAGCCGAAGTGGAGCTGAGGCGCAGACTTAGCAGAGGGCAGCGGGAGGAGGGAGTGACGGACGGAGGAAAGTTTTTTGGGAAGGCTCCAGGATAAGCGCGTTCGCTTCTTGCACACCACTGGGTTCGTCTGCGGAATGACGCGGACAGGCCTCCGTTCGTTTGTATACGCGGTTGCTGTAGCTGCTGCACCAGGCTTGCTGGCCTCCTAAAATGGCGCGTGCAACCGGCCAGGCCGAGTGGTTCCTTGGGCATGGGGGCGGACTCCTTTGCTTCATGAGCCGAGTGGATTTGCCCTCCGAGAGGCTACCTGGAGTAAGGGGTAAAGGCGTGGGTCACGTTTATGCGCCTGGTCATGGTGACAAGGCCGCTTGCAGCCGTGCGACAACGAGATGGTGGTCCTTATCACTACCGCGCCCCTGCCCATTGTGGACGGGCTACGAGACGTGTTAAAATGAAGATCCGAGCCGAAGCGCTCGCGGCGGTGTCCGTGCTTGCGCATCTCATGGGCTGGGACGACCACGGCCGGTGCCCGACGCCAGAAGAAGGCGTCGGAGGAAAGAGCGGCAGGGAGGGCGGAGGGCCGCAGGGAGAGAGAGAGAGAGAGAGAGAGAGAGAGAGAGAGAGAAAAAAAAAAAAAAAGGGAGGAGGGGGGGAGGGCAGGAGGGCTCCTCACGCAGGCGCAGGGAGGGAGAGAGAAGGAGGCACGGCGGGGAGAACAGTCGAGGAAGCGCGCAAGGCTACGGCCGAGGGCGCGCGGGGGGCCGCGCCGGGCCCCGCTTTGGCCCCCCTGGGCACCCCCTGCCGAGGGGCGCCCGCGAGGTGATGGGCCGTTTTGCCACCACCACCACCAGAAGTCGGAGGGGGAGGGGGTCCTCCTCCTCCTCCTCCTCCGCCTCCGCCTCCTCCTCCTCCTCCTTCTCCTCCGCCTCCTCCTCCTCCTCCCTCCTCCTCCTCCTTCTCCTCCTCCTCCTCCTCTTCCTCCTCCTCCTCCTCCTCCTCCTCCGCCTATCCTCCTCCTCCTCCTCCTCCTCCTCCTCCTCCTCCCTCCCCTCCGCCTCTCCTCTCCTCCTCCTCCTCCTCCTCCTCCTCCTCCTCCTCCTCCTCCTCCTCCCTCCTCCTCCTCCCTTCTCCTCCCTCCTCCTCCTCCCTCCTCCTCCCCCTCCCTCCTCCTCCCTTCTCCTCCTCCCTGCTCCTCCTTGCCCCCTCCAGTTTGTGGTGGTGGTGGAGGCAGGGAGCGCGGGCGGGCGCGGGCGCTCACGGGAGCTGCGGCACGGGGGCCGCGGGGCAGAGGCGCGGAGGCGGCGGCGGTGCCTCGCCTGCCGCCTGCAGGGTCAGCCCGCGCGGCGGGGAGCGAGCACGTTCTGCTTCTGCCTGGTAGGAGCCAAGCCCAGGGAGCCAACGCATGGCAAACATCAGGAGGGCGTTCTTTCGCACCCGTCGGCCTCCAGGGGCCTCTTAGGGCCCCTCCCCGGGCCGCGGGGCCGTCACAAAAGGGCCCAGAATCAGAAACCGGTCCCGGGGAATGGGTCGAGACTTCTGGGGACCCCGTATGGAAAAACAAAAAAAAAAAACACGATGTCGGATCTCTGGGAAGACACGCAGGTAAGGACGGGCAGCTTTCCAAGGTTAGCCTTGCAGCCTTCCCCCCTGCGGCCCCTGCTCGGCCGCTTTCGCTGGCCGCGCCTCCCACTCGCAGAGTGTCGGCACGGCCTTCACCAGGGCCCTTGCATCCCCATCGTGCGTCCTTCTTGTGTGTGTGTGTGTGTGTGTGTGTGTGTGTGTGTGTGTGTGTGTGTGTGTGTGTGTGTGTGTGTGTGTGTGTGTGTGTGTGTGTGTGTGTGTGTGTGTGTGTGTGTGTGTGTGTGTGTGTGTGTGTGTGTGTGTGTGTGTGTGTGTGTGTGTGTTGTGTGTGTGTGTGTGTGTGTGTGTGTGTGTGTGTGTGTGTGTGTGTGGTGTGTGTGTGTGTGTGTGTGTGTGTGTGTGTGTGTGTGTGTGTGTGTGTGTGTGTGTGTGTGTGTGTGTGTGTGTGTGTGTGTGTGTGTGTGTGTGTGTGGTGTGGTTGGGGGGGGGGGGGGGGGGGGACTGTGCCCTCATCGCTCTGTTCAGGATCCTTCGGCAGCCATGCGAGGGAAGAACCACGATGGCCATGGCCTAGATGGCGCGGGATTTCGTCGGCACCGATCTTGATCATGGCCCATGCCTGCCGTCGCCGATCCGCGAGGATGACGAGGACCACGGTCGACACCGACGCTTCCGCGTTCAGTTCTGGCCATGGTAATCGTGATCCTTTCCTCTCCAGGACCCCTTCGGCACCCACCCTGTAGGCCCAGGGGCCATCGGGGGCGAGCGCAGGGAGGAACGAAGCCTGACGTGAGTGAGCCAGCGCCGTGCTGGCGCCTGTGGCTCCGGCCCGGGCAGGGCGCAGCAGGGGCTCCCTCGCCACGCTCGGATCGTCGGGAGCGCTGCTGCCGTGCGGTGCAGCTTCGGGCACTGACGGAGCTTTCAGCCAACCGTGGCTTCCTTGCGCACGCCCAGAAGTGGGAGGCTGATGGGAATCCAAGCCTACCAGGTCGATTAGCGAATCGCCCTGCTTCGTCTCTCGGGAGGGTGTTGCGGCCGCAAGTTTGCAGGCCGGTTCCCGCCTTTCCATACAAGGATGTTTTGCTGAAGGGGGTTCTGTCCACCCTCGAGAGAGTGCGAGATCGGAATCTCTTTCGGCGCACTTGAACTGGCACTCTCCTCGGTTCTCGCAGCTGGGCATGTATCATGCTGTTCGGGGTTCGGCGGTTTTGTGGCGCAGCGCGTGAGAGCGTATGTACGATTGGCTCGGTACGTATCACGTGCCGATCGAGTGGTTTTGCTCCCCGTATTGTCGGCGTGGTGGATCGCACAGTCCAGCGATGTTGCGAATAAGGTAGTGTATCCTGTATCGCCACAAAGTCAACATCTAGGAAAGTCTAACGCGTCAGGCCTGAGATCGTACAAAGCTTAGCTTTGTACCACGTCGGTCTTTCGAGATACCAGACCAGCCCACACATGCGTGCCAGTGATCGCAAGGTGCTCAATGAAGGACGTTTTATGTGTCGGAGCTTTGATGTTTGCCTGCCCCCCCGGATTACTCTTTTGGACGCCCTGCAGGATGATCTCATCAGCACAGATGACACCATTGGTGCCCACAAGAAGGGCAAGGGTAAAGGCAAACAAGGCGGTTGGTCAGGACTGCCATGCTGGGATGTTGAGGAGGAGGAGGAGGAGGAGGAGGAGGAGGAGGAGGAGGTGGAGGAGAAGCGCGAGGCGGCAGAGGAGGAGGAGGAAGAGGGGGAGGTCAAGCTGGGCGCCCTCGTGCCATGTCTGACATCCTGCCCCATCACTCCCAGCCCTTTGCCGGTGTGCTGTTGCCCTCCACCCGCGCACGCGTGTCACAGCGGACCCGGAACTCCCAAGGTGCGACCCCGCTGTGCCGTGCGCAGTTGGACAAAGGGGAGCTGCGCACACGGGAGGGAGAGGAGGGGAAGGAGCTACACACTGAGCTGCCTCGATGCGGCCGTTTCGATAAGCAACACGTCCCGTGTTCAAGGCGTCCGTGTCAAGACGTTGCGTGTTGGCTCCACGTACTGGCCTACGTTTTGGCGATCGCATCGCGTCGGACCTACGTTTTCAGCCTACGTGTTGAGCTTCGTATCAATACGATACGTGTTGCGTGTTACGTATCGGGGCAGCTAAGGCTACACACTGTTCATTTCTATTTCTTCGAAAGTTCTTTGATTTTCTCGGGGGCCAAGATCTCTCCATTTCTAACTGTTCCATCCTGGGCCTCTTCCTGGCCAACAGGGGGCCAGGAACAATTAGAAACGAGCACACTTAGAAATGAGCACGATTGGAGAGGAACGACGTGTACAGATGGTGCGGCCTTGTCGGCCACCAGCAGGCCCTGAAAGCTGCTCGCGAGGCACTCCCCGCCAGGTTCCGCCTGCGGAGCAAGCCAAAAAAAAAAACCGGCGGTGGATGCGAGTTCGGTTATTCCTACGACCACCATCCACGACGTGACGATCGGGGGCGGAGTAGAGGGGGTGATGACTAGGGGGGGGGGATATCATGGCGGGGGCCGTTTCCCCAGATTTCATGGCGCCTCTTCTTATTTCATTACGCCCCTGGCCCCCTTGCTGGGCCGCACACATGCCGCCAGTCATGATTTGCACCCTCCCCTCTTGGACACCCCCCTCTTGGCCGCCCCCGAACGATGTGACGACATTCGCTCGACGACTTAGCCAGCTGCTGGGCGGCACGACACCCGCAGGAGACACGACACCAGATTTCGGCCCGGCGTGCTGTCTGAGCGCGCAGGTGCTGTGAGCCCAGCCCTCCCCCCCGAGATGTGCACCTGCTGCCCAGGAGGGGCTTCCCAAATGACGCCTTCCACACAGTATTCAAAACCGATGAGCAGGAGGATGAGGAGGGAAGCGGACGAGGACGGACAGCAGCAGCAGTAGTAGGAACTGGAGTGGAGGGAGCGGGAGGAGCGGCAGTACCTGGGGGAATGCGGAGGAGAGGAAATGGGGGGGGGGGGGGGCGACAAGGATGGAAAAGGATTCGGATCCAGAAAAGTCGCCCGCGCCAGTGCGAGAGTGTTATTCTGAACGACCGGAGCATATCGCCTACCCGAAAATGAGACCCACGGTGCAGAGGGAGTACCATTTTGAAACACCGAAAACTATCGGATTCGACAAAAGCATAAGAAAGATCAGTGTTGGAAGCCGTATGTGTAACAAACTTCCTGCGGAGAGGGCATCTTCTGCACAGAGTCAGGGGAGCGAGGGGAGTCATATTCATAATGTTGACTTTTGGAGGTGCAGGGGAGGGAGAGGGGGCGATTTCCCCTCGACGGCGGCCGCAATGCGGGCGCGGCGGGGTGACAGTTCAGTGCCGACAGCACCGTGGCAAGTGGTTTATATATATATATATACATATGTGTGTGCATGTCGAAGATGAGCATTAGTAGTGTAACAACAATAAAGATGGAGTGGAACGGCCTTGAGGTGGGGAGATGAAAGGATAACAAATTGAAAACTGGCGGAACGACCAAGCGGACAAATCAAGCTGTAAATACCAACGGCCCGCCTCAAGGAAAACAGGACAGGACCAATAATGCTCGATCGAATCCGATTCTGACGTCTTGCAGCAGACGCACGGGGTTTCCTTTTGGAAGCGCCGAGCGGTTGTCCAGCCATTGAAAAGAGTATGGAGGCAGGCAGAGAGGACACAGGGAAGAACCTGGCGCCGCAGGGTGGTCAAATTGCTGGCAGAGCACTCCGCGCAGACGCGCAAATTTGACGGACCTAAAAGATGGCTCCATCTATTCAACCGTCTCTGGATGGCTTGAACTGGGCACGCCGGAAACAAGCAGCCATGCAATAGCTTGTAGATATCTGTTTGGGACTCATGCTCATGTTCGACATCAGAACGATAGGGACAACGTGCTCTGGGTCTACAGTTCCCAGCGGCGCGGCGTCCAGGAGCGCATGTAATACATGCTGATTTGGCGCATGCAAGCAGCACCTCGCACCCATCTGCGCTGGCCCCGCTTGTGCGCTTGGCACGGCGGCGCCGTTACGACACGTAGCAGGGTTTCTTCAGTGCACGCCGGCGCCGTTACGAGACACGTAGCTGGCTTTCTTCAGTGAAAAGTTTAATCAGAGCACGCCTGCGCCGTTACGACGCCAAGCCATCTCTTGTAAATCAGCTGCGTTTTGTAGCACGACTGGCTTCTAAAACAGCGGCGTTTTGTAGCGCATGTTGTTTGTCTCATCCCGCGCACGCCTCTTAGCATAGCAGCCTGTGGTGTACAGCTTCGGTGCGGTCTACTGAAGCAGCTGCCGTCCGCTGCTGCCGTTTTGCGCTGCGCCTCTGTGCGTGAAGCCTTTTTGCCCATTCACTCGCAGAAGAGAGTGGGTAGTTTTGATCGCGCCCGGAGCTTTGTTCCAGGCGTGGATCCACCTCCAATGCAGGCGATACAGAGCCCTGCAGAAGGCGCGGGATGGTCACCTTTTAGTTTGGGAGGCCCCAAATGTTACTGAAGACTGGGGCTTCTGTGGTGCAGAAGAACGTACTAGTGTTACGCTTTGGGCAACCATATATATATATATGTATATATATATACATATATGTGTTCATATATATACACATGCATACGTATATGTACATATATATATATACACATACGGAGGCCGAGCGTGTCGCGCATGGCACCGCCCAAGGGTCGGGAGTGCGAGAAGGCCGAGGCGGCGCTCAGGGCCCAGCCGCGGCTGCAGAGCCGCCTCACGCGCTCCCCAGTCGGACGTCCTGACGGCTCCGCGTACAGCGCCAGGCGCACGACCGCGGGGTGCCGCGCGGCGATCTCCGGGAAGGCATCGTTGGGGTCCCCGTCCGCCGAGCGCAAGACGGCCGCAAAGCCACGCCGGCGCGGCGCATTCGAGTGCCCGTTGGTTTTACGGGACGTCGGTTGCTACGCTCACGACAGGCGGAGCGCCGTGCACCACAGCGATGTTCGGCACGTGAGGTGGGACGTTCACGGCGGCATCGGGGAGCGACACGTCCACCGTCGCATCGGCGAGTGCCGCGTCCACCTTGGCGTTGGGCTCGAAAGTCGCGACCACCTTCGCCTTCTTGCGCTTACAGTACCCCTTCTTGCCGGCCAGTCGGGAAGCAAGGAAATAATGGAAACGAAGAAGTCTACGACAGCCTCGACGAGCGGCATAGCATCTGAGATTGACACGACGATCGGTGCGGCAACATCGGCGCCACGCGCGGTGGGCGCAAGGGCCACCAGTTTGTTCGACACCGTCTGCACCGCTGGCGACTGCAAGGCGAGCGAGGCGTCACGGACGGTACAGCCATCGTGTTTTCATAAGGAACGCCGGAAGAGGAAGGAGTGGGCTTTTCAAGCCACGTGTTGCACCTGGCGCGTCGGCTGGGCGCCGTCCGCGAGACGCACGACCGCCAGCTTCCTGGATCGAGCGCGGTGGCGGCTTCTCGGTTTTCCTGCTCTTGTTGGTCGTCTTCCTGGCCATCGCCCCCCCTCCGCCTTGTCCCGCCTCCCCTCCCCCCCCGTGCTGGAGATTCAGATGTTGCTTCCCGGACCTGCCTATTTGGAGGCAGGCCAATCTAAGATCCAGCAGCATCCCCTCTGGTTGTCCTCCTCGTCCTCTACCTCTTCTTGCTCAACTCATTTCCGCCTTCTTCGCTTATGCCTGTCACAGCGCGTGGGCGCCATGCGCGGGGGAACGGATGAGAATGGGAATGAGAAAGGAACGTGTTGAAATCGCAAAAATAAGTTCCACCCCCTCGAGCTCCTCCAACGATACAGGGAGAAGATGAGGACAGTGACGACGCACTGGAGCTTACACGTGCTGTTTGTACTCTTGGTTGCACGGCGACCACCGGAAGCAAAAGCGCATCTCTCAAGCAGGGGAAGCCAAAAATGCTACGATGCCGTCGTGCTTGCGTGCCCGACTGAAGACCACACGCAGTCAAAGCGCTGACAGAAGGACCGCTTTGGGCTCAGGAGGTGCTAGGGCTGTCGGGCATTGCTTGGGCCCAGGTCGGGGAACGTACTCGTGGACGGAGCCCGCCGTGGCCAGGAAAACCCCTTCGCTCCTTACTTGGCGCTCCTCCTCCTCCTCCTCCTCCTCCTCCTCCTCCTCCTCCTCCTCCTCCTCCTCCTCCGCCTCCTCCTCCTCCTCCTCCTCCTCCTCCTCCTCCTTGTGGGGGGATCTAAGGAACGCTTTCGGGCCGGACGAAAGGGGGGGATTGGGAAAGGGGGGGTTACGAAATTTGCCGCATGCAGCTGGTCTCGGCCTCACCGAGGGGCCCATTCCTCGATACGTAGCCGCCTCCGGTGCCGGGAGGCGCCGGGAAAATCAGCCACGTGAGCTGATTCTCAAACCACCCCTTTGCTGTCCCCCCCTTTCGCCCGGCCCGATCCTACTGCGCCAACCCACGGCGAACACAGACCGGCCAGATACTTTGTTCGGGCAGGTGGCGAGGAGATGAGGCGTATCCCACGGACAACACGAACAACGGCACCCAGCAGCTCCCGTGCAAACAAAAATTACACAACGAGCACAACGAAGAACGAACAACACAACATGTGAAGACATTACATTCCCACCCGCCCAGTACGTCGAAGTACGCCCAGGCGGCAGGGAGAAGGGTTGACTT